TAGTTATGACTATCAACCATAGTTATAGTTAAAAATTCTATTAAATATAGTCAGTCTCAATATAGTCACTAATCAACATAACTCTTAGCACTGCTCGTAACTTTGAACTAATTAAAACTACTGGTCAAACGGAGGTCCATAAATAAGATATGCTTCCGCAAACGTCAACATGACATCATTCATTTCTTTTTCCTGAATAATTTTACAACCGTTTCACCTTATGTTTGAGATAAAGAATATAATGATTGTATTTTCTTTTCTTTCAATCACCTATCTCCTTGTGCTCTTGTCATATTGATTTTCTTATTCTTCCATTTCTCTTCTTCGTTCAATTATATATAGACGTGGAAAAAGAAGGAAAAAGTAGAATACGATACATACTCATATAAGTAGTAATGATTGTGTAAAAGTGAACAGAAAATAAGCTGATACAATGACTTCGAATTGAAATAAAACGTATGTAATTATCTTGACAGAGACTATTATCTTAGTTTCGTCACAACATGTATTGTAGATTATTACCACTATGTTAAAGAATTAAAATTAAAAATAGAGTTGTTTCTTTTTTTAAATAGTATTCTCAGCTGTTCACAACTTAAGATTATAATTAATCATATAACGAAAAATATATTTATTTACGAGTATGTTCCGGGTCGATGTATAGATAGAAGAAAATGTAGCTTGTAGATGAATACATTAAAAGTACTGAAGAATTTATAAAACATTGCTTTTCTGAATTAAAGAACATTGCAAATATATATATTTCTATCTATTCTATCAAAGATGTCAATAAATCAAGGTAATTACCATTTCAATTTAATTAATTCTGCTCAAAAGATTAAGAAAGTTAATGAAGTGGAAAGTTATAACTACAGTTAATAGTTATAACTATGGTTGAAAGTTATAACTGCGGTTATAACTACAGTTGATAGTTATAACTGCGGTTATAACTACAGTTGATAGTTATAACTACGGTTGAAAGTTATAACTCGGGTTGAAGGTTATAACTCGGGTTGAAGGTTATAACCCGGGTTGAAGGTTATAACTATGGTTGAAAGTTATAACCATGGTTGATAGTTATAACTGAATTAACTTTTTGACCAAAAAGTTGATCGGTTATAACTCAAAAGTTATAACTCGAGTTATAACTCGGCTAGTTTTAACTCCCACACTGCTTTTGATAATTATTTTCCTCCTGATACCGCAATAAGGACTTTCGGCTTTTAAGGGTTAATAATTGCTCGTTTCTAATGAGTTAAGCTTGCGAATGTATATTTTCAAATAATATCCTTTCAGTTAATAATCGTTGCAAGAAAACTCGGGATATTGTCTGTTTTACGATCAAAGGTATCTATGCCAAAAAAAATCAGCTAAATCGTTGCTGACTTGGCAAACGATTAGAGAAGAGTTCCTTATCAAATGATCCATAGCTCACGAGAAATGTTTCCCAAGTGATCAATTACTTTTCCATAGAGACTTCAACCTTAAGTTTTAAATACTAATCTATAAAGTAGCCATGTATTGACTACAACCAGTCATCTGACACTTCTTTTCGTTTCATCATCATGTGTTCACAAATTAATCATAGCTATACTGTATGCAAGAAACTATATAACAATAGAAGAAATAGAACACACGTATGCTAATATCTCAAAATATGATGCATTGGCTTTGTGAAGACATATTTCCAAAACAACCGATAAATGGAACGAAATTATGCCATGTAATATATAAGATTAAATTCTTTCTTTATCTTTTTTGCATATTTATTCTTTTTGTTGTGGTTATTTTGTGTAATCATAAATGATAGACTGATTAAAAGATTAAATTTGTTGATACACCCTAAGAAACGCCTTGGAAGTTGATGCCATAGAAAATCGGTGACAAACGTTTTATGAAATCGAACAGACCATGAACATGATATTAATAACATTCCTTTGTTAATTTCTTGTTTTGCATTTTTTATTTATATCGAAATAAAATGTTAGTTCAGAGTTATTATCTAACAAATGCTCTTCACTTCTGACTAAATCATTCAAGTGTGTCACTATTTGTGTGTTGTAAATCTTCTACAAATCGTTTAGTACGATAAGATTATATCGTAAATATTATACATAACTGTGTATAAAATCTTGCACTGTAGCGTGTCGTTATGTTTTGTTAAAGATGTCGTTTCGAAAACAGATGTAATTCTTCAAATTATTTGTTCTCCGTCATTTCTTTTGCCGTCTTGTGCAAATATTTATTTCTCGTCTTCAATTGCACATTTTTACAGACTGTTCGACGATCATGAAAGGTTTGGAAGATTTAAACACTGAGTTATTATATGAAATTTTCGATTACCTGTCATTTACTCAAGTATTTCTTGCGTTTTTTAATCTTCAACAACGCATCAACAATGCTATTCGAGCTTATCCAGCATGCATCGATCTGTCGAAGACGATTGATCGAAATGCACTTTCACATGATTCATTTGCATGTCGTGCATTGATAATATTAGGTGATGATATACTAGAAAACACTATGAATTGTTTACATCTTAACTTTGAGGCCATTCGAGCAATCTCCTGTAAATATGTTAATTTCACTACACTACAATTATTTTTCGAACAAATACCTATGGAACAACTTGAATCAATTGAAATAGAGCATCTTGACAGACGGGATGCTCCAGAAGATATGGATCAAGAACTCTGGTCGACAATTGCTATTGCTGGTCGAAATCAACTTCGTCATTTGTGTACATCTCTACATATTATTCAACAGAATACTGAACAGTTGTTATTCGATTTGCCTACCTTACAATATGCCGTTCTCAAGTATATATCCTCTGAGGCGATGTTGGCGTTTGTGCGTCACACACCAAATCTGTGTTCATTTACTGGTCGCGTCATTAACTGGAACAATGAGAGTTGTACGCCTGATTTTAGCCTTCCCAGGCTCGTTCATCTCAATTTACTGATTGAACGTTGTAGTTCATTCGAAGAACTTCGACAACTTCTCTTTATATGCCCTAATTTGACACACTGTGAACTTCGATTTTGGATTACATGGAGTAATGTATCAATGGTCGATGCAACAGGGTGGCAAGCATTGATCGAACAATGTTTGCCATGTCTTATTTACCTAAGAATTCGATTGTTCAGATACGTGCCGGGAATCAGAGATTCGGATCCACAAGAAGCATTTAATCGGTCTGAATATTGGACTAGACAACAACCACATTTTGATATTCAGGTACGATAATTGTTACTAATATTGTTGTCAGTTTTATTGAAGGTTTTCTTGACAATGAAAATAGCAATACAGGCTCAGAGAATAGTCTAATAGACATTTCCATTTTCTTTCCACAAAACTATAGCCCTATGAAATACAAAGAAGAACGAGACACTCAAAGTTGTTTTCCTTTGCATTTTCATTACCAGCTTAATTTTTCATGGAAATAGCTTCTTAGGAGTACTAAGTATTAAACTACGTATATTCACTAGTAAATAAGTAAATTTTTTATTTGCTATGCTCATATTATATGATCGATAGAGAAACAGCTAAGTTATTGTTATTGACGAAATAGACAGCAGATCTTATCAGAAATATTCGATTCTTGGCTCAATTTTGAATAAAAATTTTATCAAACATCATGAAACTATCATGTCTAAAAGATCTAATGAGTTTATCAATTGTTTAACTCTTCTTTATTTCAGTATATGGAAGTCTGACAAGTATCTGTCGTCAATCAACTTTATGGAAGCTTTCTGACTAATGTTATGATAATGATACATTATAATTCTAAATTCTTCTTGTATTGGTCACCTATACCTGATTAATTTTATGAAATTGCTCAATGATCATTATTTATGTTTCGTCATTTTTTTTCTTTATCATTGTTTTTTGGTGAAAAAATAATCGAATGGTAATCATGATTCTGCTTATAACGTCAGTCTAAAAGATAAAACTATTATGGCTATGATAGGTGCAATAAAAGTGATGTAAAGTAGAATTCATTATGGTCTAATATATTTTTTCTATGGCAAATCAATCTTTTTCTTTCTTTCGTTCTCGATTTTGTTGCAGTTCTATTTTCTCACGTTGTTATTTGTTCATTAATTCGAAAAACTATACGAAGTTGGACAATATTAGTAGTGGTTGAGTGTTTTAATTTGTTTTTAATTATAATTATCATGAATGCATATAATCAGCAATACGACAGTCGTCATTCGATTGTCAACTGAGTTTTCCAACAAAAATCTATTGAATTTCTTCTGGATGGCACTAAAGAACTACTGATATCTGAATTGCATGAAAGGAAAATTGAATATCTGTCATCCTTGGGATAGTAAGCCATTTTTTCCCATTTGAGTATGTATTCAAGCATCTTAGTCAATCATATTGAAACAAATACCACGGTTTATATTTGCATTGAATATATTCCTTCTCGTATACAAAAGGAAAGTGATATTTTTGCTTTTTCTATCAAACGCGATTAATGATAAAATGGACCCGCTTCGTTTTCTAACAAATTTATCAGAAAACATGCTCGTTTGTACAGTTGAGAAGGATTATGGCAGATGAATATAGAAGATATTCCCAATCTGAAAGGCATCTTTGCGGATTTTGGAAGATTAGTAAATAAAAATACACGACAATCTACTTGGAGTGTCACTCTTCGCATCGAAAAGCGGTGATTCAACAAAGATAATTATCATCTTAACTCTGCATTTCTTCTTATTATTTGAAAGTACTCTGATTATTATTTGACTCGAATTCGGCAAAGATCGACCGTTGAAAAGCAAGAGTTGCAACTAGCAGATTGATTTGCATTGAATAAAATATAGATCAATTTGTTTTCCGACTGATTGTCGAGAAATTTTGAAAATGAAAAAATAAACTTCGAAATGCAACAGTAGGGTTAATTGCTACGACTAAGGTAAAAACGGAGAATTTTTTGACGTGAATATTAGTGTTTAAAATTCTATTTGAAAAAAAAAACAAATGGCTTATGATTATTCTTGTGTAAAACATAGCACTTCATATTCATTTGTCCTTTCTTCCATATTTTTTTCAAAATTTGGAAAATATAAACATTTGTGCTTGTATGATGGCTGCACTCTACCAATAATTTTACTATCAATTGTACGTCCAACGTAGACCACATCCCAGCCTTCATCATCGATAAATCTAAACTCAATGGCATTATTTGGTACATGTCCTTCTTTGTCCAGTAGCCAAACTAATTTTAAGCCAGCTGGATTCGTTAGTATCGCTAGATCACAGTCACCATCATTAGCTTTGATTGCTTTACCATTGTAAGCGTAGTAAATAGTCGCTGTACACTTGTCTTCAATACCTACGCCATGACGTTGTACATAACCCGGCACTATATCACCATAAGGACCATGACAGCTGCCCTGCTGTAAATCGACAACACCAATATACATTTGTTTAATCTGTGATGAACCATCTACACTACCATCAACAAGAACAGCATGAGACGGAAACTCGTGATTGTTCGACCGGAATCGTTGCCACGCGAGTTGAGGCCCTCCTAAAACAGATAAAAACAGGTTTTAATCTAATACGGTCGATAGACAACATAATAATTGCCTGCAAAATTGCTCATTTTTTTTTCGTATATATGGTAAATAGTAGTTATTATTTCGATCGGGCGATTGCACGTAAGTGTATACACCAATTGATTTATATTTGCGTATTTATTCAAGTGTAACAAAAAAATAATAACGCTAGGTAGTTGGTAATCATTCTGTTTTTTTTTTTGCGTTGCCACATGCACGTTTTATCCTTTCGCGGTGTGCACTTTAAGTAGCCACGTAAATAGAGGTGTCACTTTTCTTTATTTAATTCTTATTAAAATTAAGATGAAGATATTCCTTCATCTTGTGAGTGTGGGTATGAATAAACTATCACATTGCGCATTTCGATCTAGTCAACGATCTCATCAGATGGCTATTGATAATCTGTATTAAGCTGAAAAATCTCTTAAATTAATAATGTTTCATATAGAAACCCTTCAATATTAAAGAATTATTCAATCTATGGTAGTAGGTATTCATCTATTTTTTGAACTCTTTTTAAAGAGAAGATTTTCCACTTGAAGATGTGTGGATGTGGGCGGGTGAATGTGCGTGTGGTGTCGGTGTCACAGCAGAGAAGGCTCACACTTTACACCCATATTCCCACACCACGCACCCACACCCACGCCTGGCTGGCAACTCTGATACAGAAGCAATCTCATGTTATAATTTATTATTTAGCGGTATATCAACTAAAAATATCAATGAAAAGAAACAAATCATGATTATTAAAAGAAGATTGATGTGTTCAAAGGATGATGATTGAAGAAAAAGACTAATCATATCAAATGTTCAAAACTATTCATACTGTTAATTTGTTTGAAATTCAATATAGACAAACATTATCTAATAATTAACATTTTCATTTGTTAATACAAATGTTTCATAATTATCTTTGGCATTATTTAATTGATGGATCATACAACTCAGCACTCTTTAGATAAACAGTACCATTAAATCTACCAGTAACTAATACTTTTCCATTTGTTAATATCGATGCTGTATGTCCTTGTCATGCTTCATTTAGACTACCAGTAAATGTCCAAATTCCTGTTGATGGGTCATATAATTCAGCGCTAGCTAGAGAATTAACATGATCATTGCCACCAGCAACTAATACTTTTCCATTTGGTAATACAGATGCTGTATGCTCATCTCGTCCATTATTCATACTAGCAGTAATGGACCATCCTAGGCAAAATCAATTCAATGTATTATTTGTGTAAATAGTAAAGATTAAGATATACTTTAGATTATGTTACTAAAATAAAAGTTGTTTCTAAATTTTAATACAAAGGCTTTGGAATATTAGATAAAAACGTCGTATTCAAGGATAACAGATAAATTATGTTTGCATTTTCTATGTTTCATTAAATTATTTACAAGAACTAATCAACATTTAATTATATTGAAATTGCTCTTGTTCATGATCACACTAATAAAAATCTCCATCAGAAGAAAGAACAGTGTAACTTTCCTAGAATGTGTAAATACGGTTGTTCTGTCCAATACACTCAAATAATGAATGATTTCGAACTGGCACTCATTAGTATTGTTCATATTGGATTGTGTTTTTTTCTCTGATCTTTTTGAAAACTTTATTTCTAAATTCTTCTCTCTTTAGTTTCCTAAAACCCATTATAGTATCTATACTACAGCAATTGTATTGAAGTCCTCAAGAGAGAATTTAATCACTTGAACTTGGCATAATCTACAAGTCTAACATCGATGATCGTTTCTCTACTCTCATTTCATTAAAACGAATTAGGTTTTCGACGACATGGTTGAACAAACATTTGATTCAATCGATACTCTCGTCTGTTTATTCCGAAACGATTAAATAAAGAAAGTGAAATTAAACGTTTTCAAAATGGTAGATTTCAAGAGTCACACAAAAAAAGACGATCTGCATAAGAGTTTCTGATGAGAAGCATTCTCTCTTTTTCTGTTCAAGTTAAGATTTCAAATCTGAGTGTCATCTTATGACAATAATATCTCAAATTCAGCACGAATTCGTAAAAGAAAAAAGTACTAATGTGTTTGGAGATTCAGAAACAAATTGACAATATCAGTACTGCCCAGGTCGACCAATCTGACGGAAAACGTGGTGTCGGCAAATCCTATCGAATCCTACATTTCAAATCCGATCGGAAGCTACGGGAACGGAAACGATCGGAAACTATTGTAGACAACCGATAAAAACCTTAGTAACGAAAAATCGATCGGTTCCCACTGTTGGTAACCCAAAAATATCATATTCCAGACCAAAACATCTCAATAGACCATACATAATGCATTTCAAATTTAACATAACAATATACGATAGAAAACTATTAGAACAGAATTGCGAAACGCGAATTATATAACCTAGTATACTAAGCTCCCTTCCTAAAATCACCACACGTCAATAACAGAATCTTTTATTAAGCCAGCAAACAAAATAACTAAATATTCTTCCTTCATGACACATTTCATAAATTACAGGACTCAACCTGTTAGACACTCAATACCGCCATTCAATAACATAAACTAAATGCCCTACAAAAATACAATAACACAAAAAAAGAGACAAAATTTCACATCCACGTTCATCCCACACGCTTTATAGATCCATATTTTCAAAACCCCATAGGATCCAATAGGATAAACACTTATCTGACTAAAAATTTTGAATTGAAATGGATAGACGCAGGTCGAAAAACAGAGTATAAGATCTTGTCATCATATGAAATCTTATGAAAATCGTACGGAAAATTGTCGT